CACAAGAACAGAAAACCAAACACCGCATGTTTGCACTCATAGGTGGGAATTGAACAATGAGATCACTTGGACTCTGGAAGGGGAATATCACACACCGGGGCCTATTGTGGGGAGGGGGATAGGGGAGGGATGGCATTGGGAGTTATACCTGATGTAAATGACGAGTTGATGGGTGCTGATGAGTTGATGGGTACAGCACACCAACATGGCACAAGTATAAATATGTAACAAATCTGCACATTATGCACATGTACCCTAGAACTTAAAGTATATTTATATATATATATATATAAAGATTAGAACAGAAGTAAATCAAATAGAAAACAAAAAAGTCATGGAAAGAATCAACCAAATCAAGTTGATTCTTTGGAAAATCAACAAAATTGACAAACCCTTAGCTAGTCTAAGAAAAATAGAAAGAAGACAAAAATAAAACAGAAAATTAAAGTGAAGAAGTTGTAATAGACACTGCAAAAATAAAAGGGATCATAAGGAATTATAATGGACAACTGTATACCAAAACATTGAACAATGTAGAGCCAAATGATAAACTTCTAGGAAAATAAAACTGCCAAGATTGAGCCAGCCAGATGCGGTAGCTCAAGCTGTAATCCCAGCACTTTGGGAGGCCACGGCCGGTGGATTATTTGAGGTCAAAAGTTCAAGACCAGCCTGGCCAATGTGATGAGACCTGTCTCTACTAAAAATACAAAAAATTAGCCAGGTGTGGTGGTGTGGGCGTGTAATCCCAGGTACTTGGGCAGCTGAGGCAGGAGAATCTCTTGAACCCAGGAGGCGGAGATTGCAGTGAGCCAAGACTGTGCTACTGCACTCCAGCCTGGGTGATGGAGTGAGACACAGTCACAATCAATCAATCAACCAATCAATCAATCAATCAAATCACGAAAAATACACCAGTAACGAAAGATTGAATAAGTAATAAAACATCTCCCAACAAAGAAAAGCCCAGGATCAGATGGCTTCACAGCTGAGTTCTACCAAACATTCAAAGAATATCAATATTTCTTAAACTCTTCCAAATAAAGCCAGAGGGAATACTTCCAAACACATGAAGCCAGCATAACCTTAATACATAAGCCATACAAAGACACCACAGGAAAACAAAACTACAAAACTATTTCTGATAAAAATTGGCATAAAATCCTTCAATAAAACATTAGCAAACCAAGTGTAAGAATACATCAAAAAGATTATATATCATGATTATTTATTCTTTTGGATATTGCATCAAAACCTCAGACTACAGAAGTAAAAATAAATAAATAGGACCACACCAAACTAAAAAAACTCCTGCACCACAAAGGAAAAAATCAACAAAATGAAAAGGCAACCTACAGACTGGGAAAAAATATTTGCAAATCACATATATGATAGAGAGTTAATATCCAGTATTTATAAAGAACCCTTGTAACTCAATAACAGCAAAATAAATAACCCGATTTTTAAAAAATGGGCAGAATATCTGAGCAGATATTCCTTCAAAGACAACGTATAAATGGCCAACAGGTGTATAAAGAGGTGCTCAACATCACTAATTACAGAAATGCAAATTAAAATCCTTATGTCATCTCACACCTATTAGGACGACTATCATCAAAAAGGCAAGAAATAACAAATATTGCCTGTAATCCCAGCACTTTGGGAGGCCGAGGCGGGCGGATCACAAGGTCAGGAGATCGAGACCATGGTGAAACCCCGTCTCTACTAAAAATAGAAAAAATTAGCCGGGCGCAGTGGCGGGCGCCTGTAGTCCCAGCTACTCGGGAGGCTGAGGCAGGAGAATGGCGTGAACCCGGGAGGAGGAGCTTGCAGTGAGCCGAGATTGCGCCACTGCACTCCAGCCTGGGCGACAGAGCAAGACTCAATTTCAAAAAAAAAAAAAAAAAAAAAAAAAAAAAAGAAATAACAAATATTGGAGAGGATATGGAAAAAAAGGGAACCCTAGCACACTGTTGATGGGAATGTAGACCAGTATAGCTATTATGGAAAACAGTATGGAGGTTTCTAAAAATATTAACATTGGAACCACAATCCCAGTCCTTTGGGGGGCTGAGGTGGGAGGATCACTTGAGGTCAGGAGTTTGATACCTGACCAATGTGGTGAAACCCCACCTCTACTAAAAATACAAAACTTAGCTGGGTGTGGTGGCACATGCCTGTAATCCCAGCTACTTGGGAGGCTGAGGCAGGAGAATCACTTGAACCTGGGAAGTGGAGGTTGCAGTGAGCCAAGATCACACCACTGCTCTCCAGCCTGGGTGACAGTACAGGCTTTCAGTGCTTTGAGACTCATTCTAAAAAAAATTAAACAAAACAAACAAACAAAAAAAACCCATCATATGACACAGCAATCTATCTTTGGATATATACCCAAAGGAGATGAAATCATCACTTCAAAAAGATATTTGTACTCCTGTGTTCACTACAGCATTATCTACAATAGCAAAGATTGGAAACAGTCTGTTGATAAAGGAAATGTGAGATATATATTTTATGTATGCCTATGTATGCTTATATATGCATATGTATATAGTTTATAAAGAATTATTAATCAGCCATATAAAGGAAAATGATCCTGACATTTGCCACAATATGAATGGACCTGGAGGACATTATGCTAAGTAAAATGACCCAGACACAGAAACAAAAATATTGCATGATTTCACTTACATGTAGAATCTTTGAGGGAAAAAAGGTGAAATAGAATGAAATAGTGGTTACTAGTGGTGAGTTACTAGGGGTGAATACAAATAGCAGATGTGTAGAATGAACAAGTGATCTAATGTACAACCTGAGGATTATTGCTAATCAAATTACATTACTGGTTTTTGTTAAATAAGTAGATTTTAACGGCTCTTGTCACCAAAGTAACAATGTGAGTTAATATATTATAGTTTGCTTCACTATAGCAACCATTTTACTATCTAGAGTCATGTGTTACATAATAATATTTTGGTCAACGATGGACCCCTATATACACTGGTGGTTCCACAAGATTTTAGTGAAGCAGCCTTGTACAGATGTGCAATTTTAAATTTTTATAACATATTCTTACTATACTTTTTCTATGTTTAGATATGTTCAGATACACAAGTACAACTGTGGTACAGTTGCCTGCAGTATTCAGTACAATAGCATCCAGTACAGAATGCTAAAATGCCATAATTCTGTATTCTTTCAAAATGCTGTATTCTTTGTCGCCTATGAGCAAAAAAACATTCCACATAGCCTAGGTGAACAGTATGATATACAAGCTACGTTTGTGTAAGTACACCCTATAATGTTCATATAATGAAGAAATTGCCTAACGACACATTTTTTCCATTGTTAAGTGACACATGACTGTATACGTATCCCATAATACGGTGTAAACCTCACATATACAAAATAAAAGGTACCAAATTTTTGTGTGTTTTTTTTTTGTTTATAAAACAAAAAAAATAGATTGCTAGCCCACAGAAACTGAGATGACTAGTATGTATTTGTTGTTCTAAGCCACTAAATTTTAGGGGGTAATTTGTTACACAGCAATAGATGACTAAAACCGTACAACTCAGAGAGCATTATAAAGAAAAAAACAAAAAACAATTTATATTGTAGTTCTGTACTATTACTGATGTTTAAAAAATACATTTAGGAAGAGAAAATAAGAAACATTGAGAAATTTCTAATTTAGTAGCTTTAAGATACCACATCTACAACTCAACTTCTCCAAAATACCTTTTAAAACTGTATTTCTTGGAAAGAGACCCAGGATTCCAAATTTTCAAAAGTTTTTTATTGGTTAACATAAATACTCCTTTGACTTTAATTCTAAAATGTTGTATGCTGTGAAATAAAGAAAAACGAAGAAGAAACAATGATTTTTCAACGTCTTCTAAATATAACTAGAATTTTTTTATTAAGTTAGAAAGAAAGACAGGAGGGGAGGTATGTGCAAAAACCCCAGGAATATCTTGAATGGGAATGGCTTTAAATTCTGATGAAAATGTTAACTGCATTAAAAAATAATCAAAAAGGCAGCCTTACTAATTCAAGTAACTAAAAACTTGTATTTTTTTCTTCCCCTCTGCATTGTTTAGTGATGACTTTTCAATTGTTCATGGAATATCTGGGCTGATTCTATGAGCAAATAATGTAAATAGGACTCAGGGTTACAATTCTCTTTATTTTAGTTTACAATTTAATAATCAGATCTTGACAGTAACTAGACTTGATTGTACTTACAAGGTAATTATCCCTTCATATTGAAAATACTGAAAAGTTTACCTTTTATTCATAGATTCAGTCAAAAATACGGCTTACTTTTAACTGTAACTCTCTTGTTCCTCGATGGTAATGAATTTCACTATGTCTCTATAAAATTCATGTGCCTGGATTTGCTGGCAAAATAAGATAATCAGCAAGGGTGTGTCTAACAATTGTATTTTAAAGTAGTGCCATTAAATCACAAACACATTTTAGGATAAAATATTCCAAATTTTTTCAGAAGCCTTCTGGGAAAGGCTTAGTACTTTATGTAATTCAATATTGGGCTTTTTGAGAAGCATAGAAAGAATAAATTGACAGCCTAGACAGTATATGCAAGGTAAGGATGAACATTCCCCTGGTCTGGTTGTACATACTATCATGTGGCGCCAAAACACCAAAGCATATGTTGAAGTTTGATTGGAAAATGGAAATGACATTTATACTTTCCGACACAATTTAATACTTACATAAATGTGATTACTATTTTCTCTTTTAAGCAAAACTTTTTCTCTGGGCATAACTCACTTAATCTACATCATTCCAAAGTTGCAACCTGCGCAATTTAGAAATTATGACTGGAATGGGAAACTTCCTGTGTTCATCAAGGTACCGAATTCTAACTATATACTCATACAACAGAGAAGGTCAGTTGCAAAGTAAAAATAGCACAAATGCAATTATGTGAAAACTAAATGGAGATCTTTGGAACAAAACCTACTATGGCTGTGATTATGATCTACCACGAATGTCAATGAATACTCATGGCTTATTCAATGAAAACATGTCGAGCTTAATGGTAGAATTTGGGCTAAGACACAAATTCTACATTATCCATGACAATATTAAAGTGAAAAAAACTAAGAACGACAAATAACTCATAAATTTAATTTTCACTTTTTTCATCAGACCTTTCATAGAACTAATAACAAGCATCCCAAATGACTAATTTGATATTTACCTTTTTTTATGTCTTCTTTCTACCCATTACTGGAAATACACCCATGGAGTGAAATGGTCAAAAGGAATCTAGCCAGAGGGAAGAAGGAGAACATGAGTCAAAGATTGTGGATTTCTCACAAATTGGATACTAAACCACCAAATAACATATTTTTCCTGAAACTGGTGAACTATTTAGACACAATCTTATATGTGAGTGTATTCCCATTTCCCAATATGTACATCTGCACCAGGCTGAGTAGGATCAATCATATTTCATTTTCTACTTCTGATATTAAAGTGGGTGTTGAGATTTGGTGGACGTTTACCATATTTGCTTATATCTGTAATGGTACTGGTCAAAGTCAACCTATGATTAAGGTTCAGTCTGATACACATGTTCTATACAGTGCCATTAGAGGAAAAAACTTAGGAAATACTTTGAATATATGGCCCTTCTAGAAGCCACTTTTGTGCCTGAATGGGAGGATACATTCCTTTTTGGCTTGTATGTACGCATGGTTTCAGCAAAGTAGGTATCATCTGAAGCCTACACAGCTTTTGTCAGAAGCTCTGAAGTGGTATTTGTTATACAATGTATAGCAAATGCAGTAATGGGACACGTTAGATAAAGTCATGAAAGAAGACAAATTGAAAATTTACACATCTTCATTTTTACTGGGAAATGACTAAAAGCAGATACCATTTCAGATGCTGAATAAGGATGTCATGCCAGCCAATGAGGTAGAACTTTTCACCATAATGGACCTCATTGTTAACAACTTTGCCTTTGTGTATTTTCAGAACATCTACTTAGACTTGAGCACACTGATTATTTCAATTCCATCTACATTTCACCCAATACAGGATAATATTAGTTCAGGAACTGGCTCTTAAAATAGGTATTTTGGCTCATATTGCATTTGTGTTTAATAGGATTTTATTTGAAGAGATCTGTAATGCAAATGTTTACTTTTAAAATTCTTAATATGCAAAGGAAGTCATAGGATGCATTTACATTTAAAATAATAGCAAGTGAGTACATTTTACTTTTGTACATGTTTTCCTGCACATCTGCAGATAATTAAACATTTGTTCAAATGAGAGAAAGCATACAATTCCTTTGGCTATGTATTTCATCTGAATTATTAATCTTGTCAAGAGCATTTGGCAACAAAAAGCATTATACCCTGAACAATTCCTTTATTTTATTTGACTAAAAAGTCTTGCCAGTGGTTGCAGATCTTTTGCTAAAAGGTAATGCTGACAGGGAATTGAAGGAAAGCATACATTTAGAATACTTACTTTAGTGATGTCAGTTTGGCATTGGCAGGGAACTTTGTACGTTGTTTTCTGCAATGGAAAACACGTGGCATTACACAGTAAATCTTTCCAAGGATCTAGGGAACTGATTTTGCTTGCTCCACCCAATTCTCAGTAAATGGCAATTGTGGATTACAGCAGAATTTTGCTCAGAGAGCAGTTTGCTGAGTTTGAGGTCAGGGAATGTGACTTCAGTGTCTGTGGCACTCTAAAAACTCTCTGTGAACAAGAGAATTGTGTTCATAATGGATTACTGTATTTTTAATAAATAATTCTTAAGAGCCATAAAGCAGCAGTGTGGCTCCAGGATCCCACCAGAAGATATTCCACTCCTGTCTGTCGCACTCAGGTGATTCAGCTCACACAGTGGTTTCACGTGCCCCATTTGCTCCAACTCTGTAGCTTCTGATGGGATTAAAATGCACTTTATAATTTGTCTGAGCTCTGAAAACTGAAGAATAAAATATGGGCCCTGCAGGCAAAGAAATGTACATCTAAGGACTTGATGGGTTTGCCTGCTGCCATGTTTCATGTAAGAGCAAATTACAATCAGTGTATAATTTAATGATGCGCAACTTGGTGTTCTTAGATTTTGGTTGAAGTTATACTATTTTGATTTCCATGAAAGAAATTGTAGTGTAAACAAGATGCAAAGAAACTGTAGCATAAACAAAATAGAATTACACTATTGTCATGAGAATAATCATTTAAAAATAGTAGCATGATTATTTAATATCAATGTTGACATTAATTACTAATGAATTTTATTTATCCATTGTAGCCAACTCAACTTCTTAGGAATAGCACCTTGGTAATTCAAATTATTCTACTGGAAAGAAATATGGCTGCGGTCAAATAAAAAATGTAACCTTATTTTCTATTTTAAGCTTTAATTTGCCACCAGTTTCATAAATCCACTAGATTAGCCACCCATTAGGAAAAGAGAATGAATCGTGTGTGTGTGTATGTCCCAAGCACTAAACAATATCTGATACCTGATAGTTATTAATATTTGAGGAACTAACCAGTGTATTTTGCTATTATTTTTTTGAATTCTGAAGAAGGATTTTGAATTCCAAATTTCACATGGGGATATATTAATTTTACTTTGGGGCAGCAAGCCCTTCGCAGAAATAAGCTCAGATACATCTGCTTACTTAATTACTTAAATATATGACTCAATAATAGAATAGGGAATAGTAATGGCCAGACATGGCACATACCAATGTGTTCAGCTTTTTAAATTCATTTTCTTAGACAATTCTCGAAATTTTCACAATATCTACAAGCAGGTATTATCATCCCAACTTACAAATGAAGAACTCAAGACTCAAAAAGCAATTAAGTGGCTCCTAAGTTTAGTGGTTACAAAGAAATATTTCTCACTGATATTACTTGTCCATCACATTTGCACGTATATTCCATGTCATCTTTTCTCTGGTACTCAACCCTAATGAGCAGCCACTTATGGGGTTGTTGTCAAACTCAAGGGAATAAGTAAGAGATCATAGCAGATCTTGAGTGACCTTTACAGGTTCTATTGTCATTTCTGTTCATATATTTCTGGTCACAAATCACATGGCCATGCCTGACTTCCATTGGGTAAAATCTCCCTTCAAGGAAAGGTGCTAGAAGTCACATGATATTATGTATCTATAATGTCAAGGAACCATGGATATATAATCCTCCCATAAAGAGGAACAACTCAAAAAGAATGGATATTTTGAACAAAAATACAATCTACTACAGTGGTAACAAAACCTGCTTGATTACAAACCTGTGTATAATAAAAAAACAAAAAGATCTGTCCAAAAATTCAAGGGCTGCTTACACCATTGGAAATGATCTATAAGGCAGTTTGAGGACTTTTTTTTTCTATTTTTTCTTTTTAGGTTTGCCTCAAGCTTCCCTGTCTTCTGCACTTTTGTTAGGCAGACTAGGATTTGAATTCTAGCCCATTCATTCAAGAGCTAGAACAAGTTATTAGCTTTTACTGTCCTTGTCAAACAGCCTCTCTGAACCTTTTTTATATGTAAAATAGGGATCATCATAACATTTAACTTCCAGGATTAGAAAAAGGATAATATATTGAAAATAATGCACTTAGAATAAAGCTTGGTATGCAGAAGGCATTTAAAAAATGGTACCCGAGATTATTATCATTCAAGGATCTATTCAAGTTAGTCATCAGTAAATGGATTCCTTCTAAGTATTAGAGTGTTTCTCAAACTTGAAACCTAAGAATGTCAGGACAGGATATCTGCAGACTCCTTAGTTTGAGAAATGCTGAGTTGATGGTTTGGCCAAAATGTGTAAAATGTTGATACAGAATTTTAGAGATTTTGCACAAACCAACAAACACAAAATGATAGTCAACAAATCTGTTTCAAATGATTAACTGAGTCTTCATAGGAACATTGAGTGTTTACGTAGGTAACCAATATGAAAAGTACAGTTCACAAACATGTTTCCTTGACCTTTTCAGATATTGTTTATACAATATCAACATTGTTTTTGGAAAAATTAGTGAAATGGCTCTTTTGTTCTTGCCAGTAAAGTTACACAATAAATTGATAACAACTCAGCATTTATTTCTCAGCATGTTTCTATTTCTTCTCTAAATCAAGGAGTCTTAGATTGGATGCATCACTTTTTACAGATCTAAAAACTGTTAAGATAGTGGGAAATTACTTAATAGATCTTCCTCCCCACACCCATATATCCAGCCACATGAATAAAATGTATTACTCTTGGCCTTATTTAAGTGCTCATATTACACTTACGACTCTCCATAGCCATGTTTCTATGGAACCAAGTGTTCAGTAAACTGTTTTTCTTATCTGCAAAGTGTGAAACAACAAGTTTTATCTTTTTTTTATTATGTTAGTAAGAACTGATGATTTGCCAGAAGGTTTTTCATAGTATCAACGACAAATTCAGGAAAAATCTTAACATTTTTATAAGTAAATCCTTTTCACAGTAAAAATCTTAATGTTCTGGAAGTTTAGAGAAAGTCATAGATTCAAGTGTAAGGGAAGATGGGTAAGGAAAAGAGCCTATGGAGTGACGCTTTTATTTTAGTCACTCTTGGCCTAGTATTTTGGCATGGTATTTGTGGAATATTAGCTCCACTAAATAACAGATAAACAAAAATTCTCTTCATAGATTTTGCCACAGCTGCTTCCTGTTTTTAACTACGCTTCAGCAAGGAAAAATTCAGAACCTAGGGTACTTACTTTGATCTGTTTTTATAATGGCTCAACCCTCCATTTTAATAACATTATAAAATTACTATATATTAAAATTTTTTCTATTATTTTAAAATATTTTGAGACTTGAAATAAGACTTCCAGCTTCCAGTTTTGGCAGGCTTGGTTATTTGGACCAACCATGTTACTAAAAAGAACTAAACAGCTCATGTAAATTATTTTAAAATCTTCCTTAAAATCTATGAAGAGCTAACAATATAGCAAGAAAATACTGAACAAAAACTAGAGTGATAAGAAAACCAGAAAGGTGCTTTCATCTTGAGAGCTTCTGTGGCCTTAGCAAATCTGAACTTCCATTTTGAAAGGCTCTTTAGTGAGGAGGACAGAAATTAAAGGCCCTTCTCTACTTGAAGTAGAAGGCTAATCGCAACCTCTCTCCAAAATAAATTGGGACTCCATCATCACTCTTGGAGTAAATCAGAAATAAAACAGCCTTCGTCTTTCCTGTGTAAGATCATATAAAAAATAATGAAGTTTAATTCTTGAACCTGAACAAAAGGGTTCCCAGGCTGGCAGTGCAGAAGTAAAGGCAAACCCTCTCTGGTAGAAAATACTTTTATCTTAGGCCCTAAAATACTTTACAAATACATCTTCAAGTACAATGACCAGTATACTGTCAAAGATAATCAGGCCCACTAGGAAATAAGACACCAAGAGTGAGAACAGACAGAATGAGCAGAAGAAGATTCACAAAGTCTTCAGTTAAAATATAAGTCACAGACAATAAATTAACTGCAAGTATTATGTTTAAAGTAATATAATGCAAACTTAGAGATATTTGCAGGAACAGGAAACAATACAAACATGAATTTGAAAATAATACAAGTAGAACTTCTAGAAATAAAATATACTTATATACAATAAAAATTAAGATCAATAGAGAGCTTTAACAGATTAGAGACAAAGAATGAGTAAACTAAGATATAATCCCGTCATGAAAATCAATTGTTCTCTTAAATATTGACTGGAAGTCTATTTTCTATTATTTTAAATGAAAGTTATAATAGTTACATATCAAACTCACATTTCCAATTAAATTATATACAGACTGTAGTCTACTCTTGTGGCAACCACCAAGTTTTGGCCAAATGTGGCTAACTGTTCATGTTCAAATAAGATAAACGCTGAGCTATAACCAATCCGGCTGTTTCTATACTAATAAGGTTTGGCTGTGACCTTTTCTCCAGTTCTCAATGAATTCCTCATCTCCATCTGAGATCACCTCAGCCTGGACTTCATTGCCCATATCACCATCAGCATTTTGGCCAAAGACATTTCAAACAGGTCTCTAGGAAGTTCCAAACTTTCCCACATTTCCTGTCTTCTTCTGAGCCCTCCAAACTGTGCCAACCTCTGCCTATTACCCAGTTCCAAAGATGCTTCCGCATTTTTGGGTATCCTTATAGCAGCACCCCACTCTCTGTGGTATCAATTTACTGTATTAGTTCATTCTCATGCTGCTATGAAGACCTGTGTGAGACTGGGTAATTTATAAAGAAAAGAGGTTTAATTGACTCACAGTTCTGCATGGCTGGGGAGGCCTCAGGAAACTTACAATCATGGTGGAAAGGGAAGCAAACATGTCCTTTTCACATGGCAGCAAGGGAGAGAATGAGAGCCAAGTGAAGGGGGAAGCCCTTTATAAAACCATCAGATCTCGTGAGGACTTGCCATCACGAGAATAGAAAGGGTGAAACCACTCCCATGATTTAGTTACCTCCCATCAAGTCCCTCCTATCAC